TGTGTGAGCTGGTGCAATATGGCTGCTGTCGTGTCATCTAGGTGGATGCTGCACACTGGTGGATGAGGAGTAAAGTGCTTTGAGTGTCTAGAAAACCCCAAAATATATTTAATTAGAAACAAATAAGACATGATTTATTATCAGCCTTTTTAAAATAACTTTTATTTAATTTCATTAAAACTAATCATGTATAATGGATTTTTTTTACATTTTTTCACATTGTCTGCCCTTACAGGGAAGTTCAATGACATCTACCATGACTACAAGTACACTTACATGGGCTGTGGGATTGTCCTGCTGATCGGCAGCTTGTTTTTGTTTGTCGGAATGGGCATCAATTACAAACTACTGGAAAGAGAAGCAAAAGAGGAGTCCAAGAAAGCCAATCAGCAGGATGACCCTGGAAAAGAGGTTGTAGAGGCATTGAAAGCAGCTGAAGACAATGCTGCAGAGGAGGCTGTGTGACACTGCTCGTTATTCTTGATCATCCTTACATTTCTGTACAGTCTATGGATTCGATTACAGCCAGGTCTCCATCTTGGACTATACAGGTTACAGAGACAGTGATGCAAACATTTCAGTGCCTTGCGTAAGCACATGGCCATGCACTTGATTTATTTTTCATTTTATTTTTAGAACTTTTCTTTAGTTCACAACATACTGTATGCCAATACTGTAGGAAATGAACTGTGGTATGTCTATTTTGAGGCATTTAGTGTACACTGAGAGAGATTGAATCATATCATATAAGGAATTTATCTATCTTTTTTTGGATTTCTGACAAATAAGGCACTTGAGAAGTTAGAAAGTGGTAGATATGCACATTGTTTCCGTCTGTTAGTTAAACATATAACTTAACAAATGCACTACCAGGCTCAAAAAAGACACAGTTATGTTGATTAGATTTTTATTGCATTAATTAAAATGTTTCTGATTTGTTAAATGTTTGGCAGCAGTTATTTTAACCCCAACTGATGCAGTATAGCTTTTTTCTTCTTTTAAACAACTATATCTGTAGATGTTATATGTTCCAGGATGTTAATGCCAATATTTATCTGGCTAATATTCTAGAATAACTGTTTATTTTAACACAGGAATGAACCACCAGTAACCTGAACCCCACTGAATATCTATTAGATGTTTTAAGTAAAATGTGAAAGACTTTGTGTGTGTGTGTGTGTGTGTGTGTGTGTGTGTGTGTGTGTGTGTGTGTGTGTGTGTGTGTGTGTGTGTGTGTGTGTGTGTGTGTGACACTAAATATGGGTTTTCTAAACAATAACATAATAAATGCACAACAAACTAATATGTCTGATAGTCTAATTCAATATTAGTGTGCAATGTTTTTTTTTTTGATCAATGACAGCTATTTTGTTTATTCTTGTCCTTGAGCAAGTCTAGAAATCCAATGATGAAAGACTGTTCTTGTTTAAAACACTGTAAATGCAGTATTTGTTTATAGTCTTATAGTAAATTGCTTTTGAAATGGCAAATAATTATCTGTCAGAGCCAGATTAAATTAATATTGTTTGATTGTTGATTAATAATGGCTAAAACATATCTCATTCTATAAAGAATTGCTTCATCTCCTTTAAGCCTATAGTGTCCTGTTGAGTCTTCGGTAAGGTAAGTGCATTTTAATTCTTTGGTAAAGTTCTATAATCAAAATGCAAAGTTAATATTGAGGCTGTAACAAGTTAAGTTAGCTTTGGGAATTATTTGGATTTTAAAATCCAATAAAAATAGAAATAAACTATTAACAGCCATGTAGGCTATCTATACCACTACACTTTCAGAAATAAAGGTACAGGAGCTGTCACTAGGGCAGTACCTTTTCAAAAGATACGTACTTGTACCTGAAGGATCCATGTTGTTACCTCAAAGGTACTTTTTAGGTACATTTGGGCACTAAAATGCATGATAGCATCACACAGTTGCTGCAGATTTGTCGGCTGCACATCCATGATGCAAATCTCCAATTACACAGCATCTCAATTGCTCTATTGGATTGAGATCTGGTGACTGTGGAGGCCATTTAAGTACAGTGAACTCATTGTCATGCTCAAGAAACCAGTCTGAGATGATTCACGCCTTATGACATGACGCATTATCCTGCTGGAAGTAGCCATCAGAAGATGGGTACACTGTGGTCATAAAGGCATGTACATGGTCAGCAACAATACTCAGGTAGGCTGTGACGTTGACACGATGCTCAATTGGTACTAATGGGCCCAAAGTGTGCCAAGAAAATATCCCCCGCACCATTACACCACCACCACCAGCCTGAACCGTTGATACAAGGCAATATGGATCCATGCTTTCATGTTGTTGTTGTTGACTGATTTTACAATCCGAATTTCTCAGCAGATATCGAGACTCGTCAAACCAGGCAACATTTTTCCAATGTTCTATTGTTGAATTTTGGTGAGCCTGTGCGAAGTGTAGCCAACAGGAGTGGCAATCCGGTGTGGTCCTCTGCTGCTGTAGCCCATCTGCCTTAAGGTTGGACATGAGACATGTTCAGAGATGCTCTTCTGCATACCTCGGTTGTAACGAGTGGTTATTTGAGTCAATGTTGTCTTTTTATCAGCTTGAACCAGTCTGGCCATTCTCCTCCGACCTCTGGCATCAACAAGGCATTTGCGCCCACAGAATTGCTGTTCACCGTACATTTTCACATTTTTGGACCATTCTCTGTAAACCCTAGAGATGGCTGTGTGTGAAAATCCCAATATTCAGATAGATACAGTAAATTTTCAGCAGATTCTGAAATACTCACACCAGCCCATCTGGCACAAACAACCATGCAACGTTCAAAGTCACTTAAATCATCTTTCTTCTCCATTCAGATGCTTGGCATGAACTGCAGAAGATCGTCTTGACCATGTCTACATGCCTAAATGCATTGTGTTGCTGCCATTTGCTTGAACAAGCAGTTAGACAGGTGTACCTATTAAAGTGGCCTGTGAGTGTATATATCTTTTGAAAAGATACTGCCCAAGTGAAAGTTCCTGTACTTTTATTTCTGAGAGTGTGGATTTATTTTCGTCAAAGTTTACATTACCTTTGGACCCTTGTGCAACACATATTTTAATTCATATTTAATATTATATTGCTATTATAATGTAATTATAGTTTAGTTCATTAATAATTTATCCGTTGACTTCATATTTTAGCCTTTCTTGTATATTTTGCAATTATATCTTACATTTTAAGCTATTACAATTCATTTTTTATTTAGCCTAAATAATGAAGAATGTAGCCTATACGCTTTAATTATGAAGCAAAACCACATATTTGTACATGACAAATGTGAACTTAATTTGAAAATAAAAGAGGCTTACTCTGAACTCCATGTGGATCCACATAAAATGAGAAAATTAAAATGATGTTTTTCTCATCAAACGTTTGTATGCCAGCAAAGAGGACAATTATGTTGTAATTATGATTCTTTATAACAAACTGTAGGGTAAATATTTAATTTTAGATAAGTTTTGACTGATTTGGGACAAGTGTGCATTTCGATTGAGAGTTGTCCAACAGCTGTTTTTTTTATTGTAAACATGTACAAACTTAGGAGAAGAAAGAAGAAGATACATCTCTCAACAATTATGAACATTCATTTTCTTTTCGGCTTAGTCCCTTCATTAACACAACGGAATGAACCGGCAACTTATCCAGCATGTTTATGCAACGAATGCCTTTCCAGCTGCAATCCATCATTGGGAAACACCCATACACTCATTTACACCCAGACACTACGGGCATTTGATCACCCAATTCACTCATAGCACATGTCTTTGGACTTGTGGGGGAAACCGGAGGAAACCGACGTGAACAAGGGGAGCAGGGACGGATTTAGTGATTTGGGGCCCCAAGCAATTGCAGCCATGTGGCCCTAAAGTTCTAAAATGCACCTTTTGTACTTTCATTTATTTCAATGCTGTTATTTTCGCCGTTATATAACTTGCTCTCTTTTTCTACATTTTATTTTAATGCAGAATAACATGTAAAGCATCTTGTAACACCTTATAAAACTTTTGAATTTGAAATCACAACTAAAAATTGAACTAATTCAATAAATGAAGAATTTAGTTTTTAAAATTAAATCTACTGATTTGTCTGGTCCATGATTAAGGGTGGGGGACACATTTGCGCAGATGTAATAACTACATCCAAATTTTCATCATACAAATTATAATGGGAAAAATGTTATATAATTTATATAGGTATAATTCTAGGTATTTATTTAGGGGTCCTCTGATTTCCTGGAGCCCTAAGCGGCTGCTTACCTTGCTTATTGGTTAAATCCGTCCCTGAAGGGGAGAACATGCAGACTCCACACAGAAATACTAACTGACATAGCTGGCTCGAACCAACGGCCTTCTTGCTGTGAGGCGACAGCGCTACCCACTACACCACCAATTATGGACAAAATGAATAAAAATGAGAGAAGTTATTTTAAATTATATTATATATTCTTGAACAATACGACAAAAATTGCAAGAGTTTTCTCCACTTCAAAACGTTCAAATAAATCTTTTACTGGATAAATTCTGTGTAAAATTTTAAAAAATACCCATCTTCATTATTACTTATTAAAATGTATCTTTTAGTAACTATACTTCTACTTAATGTTTCCAAATTCAGATGACCTGAAGACTGTTGAACATTTGACCATTTTGACGGATGTAAACAATGCCATAACGTATCGAAAACAAAACCAACTTAACCGCGCTCTTCCAGTTTTACATTTTTTATTTTTATAGCTTTCCGAGAGTCCAAAAATGGCACGTAGCGTACTAATAATGTTATGACAGCTGCTTTAACGCTAAGTTATGACAGAATTACCTCTTGCTACAGTTATGAAATAGTTTGAAATGCTTATGGGCCAGCGACATCAACATGAACACACTGAAATGGTCTATATGAGTATTTGTTTGTGCGATGTGACAGCTGTGTTGAATCAATTAATTTAAAATCGACGTCACGCGTTTCAAACGGAGGTCAGTTAAAAACCGTTGGTGGTCATTAGAGTCCTATTCAACACAAAGTCCGTCGAGAAGCTTTGGTGACTTGTTTAAAGGTAAAACTTGTTTTTAAAAATATGTTTACGTACATAAACGCGACTTATAATAAAACAACAGTAACAAATAAGGTTACTTTAGCAGTCTTTTTTGCTTTTATTATCAGCCGAATTCCATCAATCGCATCTACTCGACTCGACGTTTCTTATTCTGCTAGCATGTCAAAGGGGAAAACCTCAACACTAAAGCATTTCGGTGTATACATTAGTTCTGAGGGTTTTTGAAGTGATATATTTCGTTTGACTCCACAGCATGCAAAAAGCATTCAACTTCAAACTGTTGGTGCCCTCAAGAGCTCATTTACATCAAGTGTCTGCAGTGAAGCCTCAGGAAACAGGCTTGTTTGAAGAAAAAACGCTTTTTTCTGCTTCAAATCAGGTTGGCAAACTTCTTTGTTTGTGGTACAATGTTGCTAACGTTATTTGACCTCTGGCTGCTAAAACTACTGTGTGAGCGTTTAATTGTTGGATGATGCCAGTATTTTTATTTGTAGAGTTATAGTAAGTGTTCAGATATGGAGACGAGCCTGCCATTTCCATCCAAAATGGTGCTTCCTACTAAGTCACCAAGGGCTGGTAAGGTTTAAATAAATTCAAAGGTGTATTGTAATAAATAGTTGGCTTTATGTGAATGTCATTCTTAAAAGCAACATTGGACGTACATTATTCATATTCCTTTATTCTTCAAGAGGGTATGAAGAAGGCTGCAGTCTTGCCAATGGAAAAGGAAGAGGTCTGATTTAATTCTTATTTAATTTTGTATTGAAGTGTATTGCTTAAAAGGTGAATTAAACATTCATTTTATGTTTTACAATGGTTTAAGGCCTGTGTTGTAAATTCATTGCATAATAGAAATATATCAAAGTACTGTAAATTACCAAGGAGCTTTTTGTTGTTGTTGCATTGTAGACGTCTTTAAGATCTAGCCAGCTGTACTCCAAACTGCTCGATGAAGCTGAGAAAATCAAACTCTGGAAGTTCAGAACCGATTCAGATATTTCACAAAAAGACAGAAAAATTCAGGAGAACAGAAAAACCATAGAGACACAGCGCAAAGCTATTCAGGAGCTGCAGGTAAATTTCATCAGCAAATACAAGTACATTACATGCATTTGTTTTTGCCTGCCTTATACTGAAGAACGAATACTTAATTTATCATGTATGTCCTTTGCAGTTCGCAAATGAAAGTCTAAGCATTAAATTAGAGGATCAACTCAATGAGAATGAAGACCTTAGAAATAAGTATGTACATCTCCTTTGTTAAAATCTATATTACATTTTGTATACTATTGTTTTTATCATGATTATTTTTATTATGCAGAACTAATGCAACCAGAAATTTGTGTAACATACTAAAGGACACATTTGAGAGAACTGCTGAGAAAATGAATTTTTGTAAGTGTGACAGAACATTATAACATGATTAATGTCATATTGCATAATAGCAAATTATTAATTCGATGCCAGTTATTAGTGAACAGTAATGTGTTTTTTACTTTGCCTGAATAGTTGAAGCTGAACGAGAAGAAACTCATGATCTGTTCATGCAGATCAGTGAGAATGTTCAGGTAACTATATCATTTTTATTTTCCTATTTTATATATTGTGTATATTTTTTATTTATTCACCTGGCACTGTAATTTGTTCATTTGCAGAGGATGGTGGCAGCATTTGAAAGTCTTCGGAAGCAGGCAGAAGCAGATCAGCAGGATATGTTAAAATGTGCTTTTTTATTATTCAGGGTTTCTGCGGGGTGTTAAAGTCTTAATGTTTAAAATCCCAAAATCTAAATTTTCTGAGTTAAAAGTTTTAAATTTACTGGAATATTGAGTTGTAGGTCTTAAATCTTTTTTTAAACAAGTCCTAAATTTAATGTATGGATACAAGTAGAGGTTGCTTGTTTTTACACAATATTTAAATATTTTAATATTTAAAATATTTTTCTAAGAAATGTCTAAAATATTTTTTAAATGTATTAATAATTTATTATTTTGTTATTAAATGTATTAAATTATTTCTTTTTTTGATTGGGCAAATAAAAATCTTTTCTATCTTGGCCATTTGAAAAATTCCTTAGTCTTTAGCTCTTTATGAGTCTATAATTTAATTCAAACGGTCTTAATGTCTTAAAGTCTTAAATTTAACTTGATAAAACCTGCAGAAACCCTGTTATTCATCGGTTTTACGAATGTACTGTATTTGCAACAACGTAATGAAATATTTAAACTATCCTGCAGTAAGAGAATGCCTTGCACAGTTTGAAGATCTTAAAGTGCAGCTTGAGAGTGAATGCCATTTCAAGGAGGAGCAGGTAAGTGCCTTTGCTTATGAGTCTTTCGTTCATCCTGAAGAGGGCAGTGTTTGCTTGAATAATTATGAGTTTGAATAGTGTTACATTCAGTAACATTCACCTGTATTTGTTTCCCTATTGTAACTAAACACTCATTTTGTTGATTTATTTATTTTTTATTATTTTTTTTAAGGTTGCCATTTTTCAAGAAAAACTCCAAAAGAAAGAGAATGATTTCAAAGATGTTTCCCTCAAACTTCAGGAGACACAGCACATCTGCAGTGTGCTAGAGGAGTCTTCAAGTATGAATTAATGAAACATTTGTATCAACACTTCCTTGAAGTCATTTAAGATTCTTTATGTTGTTTATAGGAAAACACCAGGAACTACTCCACAGTGCTACACAGGACCGAGAAGCACTTGAAGAGAAGCTCAATGTGATACAGCAGCTCAAATGGGAGCTGGAGGTTTGTTCTTGTACAAAATCTGATTATTCAAACTTGCTAGTAAAAACATTAAATGCTACATATTACGTCACCTTTCCAAGGAAAACCAGAGAGTCTTAACTTACAAACTTGAACAAACCATGGAAAACCATGAGAAACTTTTTCAAAAGAAAGACACAGAAATAGAGGACCTGAACAACATCAAAGAGCAACGGACAAACCAACTTGCGGATATGCAGCTGACAGTGAATTCTTTGCAGTCCTCACTAACGTCTGAAATACAGAGGTATGTTAAAGAGAGCATATCAGGACAAGTACTAGCATGTTTTGCAAATCCAGCTCAAGCCCATAGCACAAGTAAGCAAGAAATGCAATATTTAAGACCTTAAAAAATTCATGATTCCTTTGTTTTCTTAGGGCACAAGACCTTGAGACAAAACTAAGCTCAGTGATGAATGATCTCAGTGAAAAAAATGCAGAAATAGGTGTGTTAGAACTGTTCGTGTTAAGAAAAAATTACACAGCTGCTGCTTTATACTATTCTAACATCACCGTTTCCACCGTCTCTAATCAGAAGTTACCAAGAGCCAAAATGTGGACCACTGCGAGCAATTACAGATACTCAGAAAAGACCTGGTATATATTTACAGCTGTTTGAGCATTCACATTATTTGCTATATGCATTTATGAAACACAATAGCTACATTTCCATCCACCTATTTTTAAAAAATCACTTTATGGAAACGCCAAGATGCACATAAATCTTGAAAATGCACATAAAAAGAGATAACAGATATGTGCATAACAGATTAGGAAAAACTTTTTATTCGATAAGAAAAGATGCGCATAAACTATGATGGTAACACTTTTACCAAACAAATTACAGTATGAACATTGAAAATGGTCATGTGATGTTATAAGAGATCATGTAATGATAAAAATGTGAGTGAATGGGCAAACCAGAAGGCTGAGCACACTGTAAAACATCTGAAATTTAGTTTTGGTCATGCTAAAACACCTTAACTGTTACAGTATTAGTGTTATTATATTATTAATGACCTCCAGAACTGTCAAGAGCGTCTGCACTCCGTGTCTCATGCCTTCAGAGGCCACCGGCCATTCATTGTGTTATGGCATTTGTCTGCTGAGGTGCAAGTCATTTATTAAATAACGAAAAGCTTCTCCTACCCTAGCAAATTTCATTTTTACTGTTGATATTAGGTGCCAGTTTATCAGGCATTGACGATTTTGTTCTTTTTGACTAGTTGGATGGAAACGCTGCTGTATTTGCTCATCTTTTATGTGACATTCAAGTTTTTCACAAAGTTAATTTGCATTTTTGGATGGAAACTTAGCTAATGTTTGTGTAACAGGATGAGAAGTCCAACTCTCTTTGGTCCATAAAGGAGGAATTAAAGGCTAATGAGACTCAGATACTCAAACTGATTACCTCACTTGAAGAGAAACAAAGTGAAGCAAATCATTTGAAGGTAAGAGAGTCTTTAAGCATTCATCAATGTTTGTGAAAACAATTTTTAATAATGGGGATCTTAACTAACATTTAACTCCCTCAGGACACAGTAGAGAACATCACCACAGAAAATAAAAGCATGCAGGAGACCCTGACTAAAGTTAGATGTGAAAATGAAAACCTTCAAGAACAAGTCAGTTTGAAAGAGGTAAAGAGGTTGTTTCTATGTTTGTGCATTTGAGACGCATTTTGTTTTAAGTTTTCATTATATTACACAGGAAATATTAATTTAAATTAAAGGATGTGAATGAATGTGGTCAAACAGATTGCATGTTCGATTCATTCTAGGCTAAATTGAAAGAGATGGAGGAAGAATTGTCAGGAGCTTTAGAGAGTCGTTGTAAATCATCAAAAAAGGTGGAAAAATTGGAGAGGGACATAAAACAAGAGAAGTAAGTTTAAAATGTTTATGTATTATTATTATTTATTTATTTTAAATCTGGAACTGAATCTCTCATGTTAAAAACAATGAATGTAAATGTCTGGTATATATAATGCTTACTATTTAATATACTGTACAGCTACAGTCTGCACAGGTGGTTATACAAGCAATGGAATTTAGCTTTTAGTTCCAAAATATATTTGCAGATAATTGTGTTGCGAGAACGTTTATGTGGAAACAGGGTAAAAAGAATATGAGATTAAACTGATATGCAAGTTACAGTTCCTATAATGCTAAAGAATAAGTGAGATCTGTTCAGTGTTATGGAACTTGTTTTCTTGTCTTCAAGGGAAAAAAATAAGGAGCTGAAACTGAAGCTTAATGACCTGCAGACACAGAAAGACACCATTCAAAAGCAGGCAGAGAGTGGTGCCTTAGAAAAGAAAGTCCTTCAGTGTCAACTAATGGTTTGTAAAATAAATCAAGATTCTAGGTGCTTTAAATATGAAATTTGACCTGTTTGACCTTATATAATGTTTTTGTTTATTTACAGGAAAGCAAAGCAAATGCAGAAAGAGAGAAGACTGAAGTAGAGAAACTTGAGAGAGAAAAACGACAGCTTCAGTAAGATTAGAAGAGACATTTTATTGCAGCTTTGAAGATTTAGTTTTATTTGTAGTTTTAGGTTTTCTACTATGAACACTTTTCATTTTTCAGAGAGCAGGTAGATATTTTATCAGCAAAAATCACTGGGCAAGATGAAGAGAGTAGAAATGTTCAGGAGCAGTTGAGAGAGAGTGTATGTTTATACTATTGTACACTTACAATTCTTGAAGTTTGGAAGGGTATTTCGTCTAACAGCAATTCATGTTTAATAATTCCAATAGGGCAAAGGTGCAAAGAAAGAACTTCTGATGAAAGACAAGCAAATCAAAGCTCTGGACACAAAAGTAAAGAAAACATATACAACTAAATTGTGCATATATGCACTGTTGTGCTCAAAATCATTATGTCATTATCTTTTGTTTAGCTGACTAATCTTAAAACAAAACTAGAAACCAAAACAAAGGCTCACGAAGAATGTCTGAAAGAGGTATGTCATTTACTTACTATTATTTTGGTCAATGGATCATGTTTAATTCAATCATGGTGACAACAGTTGTTTAAATGGTATCCAGTAAGAGTGTTTTATATACCTTATTATACAATATTTGACATTTCTTCTTGTAGGTGAAGGAATTGAAGGAAGATTTGGATCGTGTAAAGAAACATCACAACGAGGAGCTTCAGAAAATAAGATCAGACCTTCATGAGAAATCCACATCTGAGGCACAACTCGACCTTGAGGTGTTTTTTTTATTTTATTTTATTTTTTATTGTAATGCAGTACCTACAAAAGAAGCATAAAGTGATCCTAAATTGTTTAAAATATTTTGTTTGCAGGTGCATAAATTGAAGCAAACAGCCACGGAAGCATTGAAGAATAAAGATGAGACCGAAATCAAATGCCAGCAGAAGATATCAGACATGGTTGCTTTGATGGAGAGGCACAAGGTATTTTTCATTTTTTTTAAGTTCCTTTATGTTCACTGAAGTTCTAAAATATGTAGCATTTACACATTTGTTATGTTTTTTCCCTTTTTTCCAGCATGAGTATGACAAAATGTTAGAAGAAAAAGATGCAGAGCTGAGTGAAAAACGAATGAAAGAAGCTGAAGTCAATGCAAGCAAAGCCTCACTGGTATTTATTTGAACTTTTTATGGCCTAACTTAACAACTTGCAATTTAATTTGGTAATCAGAATTCAATTATGAAATATTATTCATAAATCCACATTGTTTTTGTGGCGGTCAAATAAAGTCTGCATAACAGGACTTAGATTCTTTAGTTCAGGGGTGCCCAAACTCCGACCTGTAGGGACGGTGTCCTGCATATTTTAGTTTCAACCCCAATTAAACACGCATAAACCAGCTAATCAAGCTTTTTCTAGCTATACTAGAAACTTCCAGATTGTGTTCAAGGAAGTTGGAGCTAAACTATGCAGGACACCGGCCTTTTAGGTTGGAGTTTGGACACCCCTGCTTTAGTGGTATAATAAAGAGTTTTGGGATTGAAAATATAACTGCTAATAAATGCCTCTAAATTTAGGAACTGGAGCTGTCCCACTTGCAAGTGGAGAATGATGAGCTGAGAGAACAACTTGAAAAGCTAAAAGCAGAAAAGGTGGTCCTGAAGACACCAGTGTCACGTTGTGAAAAAGACACACTTCAGCAGGTATCAAATCTTGTCAGTTGAAATACCAAATGTGTACATGGCAATTGAAAGAGAACAGTGAAATATAAAAATCTTGTTTTAGATAACTGACAACAAAGCAAAGAAAGGTAGAAACAAAATGTCCAAAACACCTAAAGCTAGCTGCACGAAGAGGAATGTTTACAATCTTTTAAATGATGAAGAAAATGAATCTCCAACAAGCAATGCATCTTGCACTCCTGCTGTAGGTTTCATTCCATTATCATTTTGTATGTTCATATTATTCACATCTACCATCTAACAGTTTCTTTGTTTTATTATTGATGTAAGCGAGAAGTGCAGGAAGTCCTTCATAACCCATTATGGACCCGGAGCAAAGCAACTGGAACAACGCCTCAAATAAAGGTATGGTGCAGCCTGAACAGTTTACGCTAGTCATCATTCATCTTAGGCGTTTATATGAGCCAGTCTATTTTCTGCTTCAGTCATTCCGAATTCGCACACCTCCCACACCTGCGATTATGGGGTCTTGGAAGAAAAATATTTTGAAGCTGGACCCGAAGTCAGACACCTCAGACAGCAATGATATACTGGTAATTTTTTAACACTAGTAACTTACCTACACATTGACATTTAGGTTTGTGGCTTGTGCTACTCTTTCTTGATATACTATATCTGGTGTACAGAGTTTCTCTCCAAGACCCGTTAAATCAAAGAAACCAATGCAGCCAAAAGATCCAAACACAGAGAGCCTGGACATGTTTAACAAGGTAAAAAGAAGCACACATTAAAACAGTTTTATTAAACATAGACTTTTTATCATTCTTTTTTTTACTGTCAACATGTGCAAATGATGTACAGGTGCAGGTGCAGAGTTCATTCATGAATAAGTCTCCAGGTACAGCGTTGAAACTGGCTGCGATAAAGCGAATGCGAGATGCTGGATGGACCACCGTCAGCAGTTCAGATAAGAAGAAAAAAAAAGTAACAGACAAAATCTTTGCTTGAAAGTGTTTTTGTTAAACATTACAGCTTCTGCTGAGTGAGCAAAAATATTTACATTATTTATTCTAAGGTTTCAGTAAACATTTTCTCCGTAATATCTTCGTTTAATATACAGTACCTTAAAATCTTTATTTAAATAACCTGTTCTGTCGCAGTTAGTTAAATACTTTGTTTACATTGTTTTGCTGTTGTTCAGTGACTTCATCAATTTGGAGATTTTAAAAAATGCAATTTAACAGTTAAATTTAACAAAAAATAAACTGTTCTTCTCTTGAAATTGATGCTTCATTTTAAAGTAGCATTTTCAGATTTTTTTAAATTTTGTTTTCTTTAATAAAAGTGGTTTGTTGCTGAGATCTCAAGGCTCTTGGTCTTGTGCTTGGAATGTCTGAAAGGTGGAGGTCTCATGGTCGAGTGCTTTGTCTTGATCCTCTCTCAGAAACTCTAAGCGGAACTGAGTGGGTCTGGAAGCAAATCCATATGCGTCTGTCTGGAATTCTTCCTCGTTCTGGACTGTCATGGTGGGATTGTAAATCTGAGGGCCGTCATAGAGTCCTCCTGAAATGACCATTGTGTCATCTGCCACTGCAAATGGCTCACCTGTAAATGTAATATACAGACAACAATACTATTCTTAGTTTTCAGTGAACATTACATCTTTTTAATGACCGAAAACTAGACTCTAGATTAAATGTGCATGACTGATGGCATAGTGTTGAAAATGAATGATTTTCCTAGAATATAACCTATTTCTAGACTATTGTGTGGACTTTATTTAGTTAACATTGCTAATAAGATCATAAACAGTTTTACTTTACCTGTATCATCATTCTGGAGACGGCGATGAGTATATTGGATACTTCTTTCTTTGCTCCTGCTGAACTTGTACACAAAGTGTACCAGAGTTACCAAAACTATTAGACCAAGGAGAACGCTGAAAAAAATGGTCAGAGACTGCTCTGAACGATTCAGACCTGCTAAAAAAGTAAAAGCGGGAATAATTAGGGAGGGTAAACACCTTTATTTGCTTTACATTTTTATTGCTGATTTATGTTTAAACCAACCTTGAGAGTCAATGACAGAATGTGTGCTGTTTGGAACTGTGTAAGTTATCGCTGTTGTTTCGGTCACTGGTTTCGTGCTTAACAATGTAGCCTTTTCCGTGCTGTTTGTGAAAGCGACTGCTGTTAAATTGGTGGTGGTGGTTGTTGAAGATGTGACCTTATCATTTTCTGTTGTAGTTGGGTGTTCTGCTGATGCTGTGACTGTCAAATTGCTCAGGGTGGTTCCTGAAGTATTGTTCGTGGAGACAGTAGGGGTCATCTGGGTTGTCGAGCTGCTTTGAGTTGTTGTATTATTACTGTATACTGAATTGCTGGATGCATTTGAGGCATTGTTTGCTGTGTGGTTTCCTGTTGCATTCAGAGGTGGAGCTGTTGTTGCATTCTTCAGTGACTCATGGGTCTGTTGTGCATCCGTTATTTTATTTAAGACTAATGTAAGTAGGATTAGTTGGCCCCATACCAAATGTCGAAAAGTAAACACACCCATGACTGTTGCAATTGCTGTCAGCTTTAAAACAAAACATAGCATATATACAGAGCATAAGTCACTGTAGGTTCAGAGTTAAGAGTTGAGAGTTTCATACAGCTCATGGCCTAGTTTGCTGTGTTTTATCTGTATGTGGTGTTGACATGTGGTTTCCTGCTAGGCGGTTTGCAAACTTTCCATTTGCGAAAGTATGTTTATTTCTGGTAAAGTGCATCAGCATGACTTCCTTTGTATTTTATCACTTATTAATTCAACTTTACATGTTCTTGTACGAAACAATAGTTACTTCTGTGCTCAATATTTAAATGAACAATATGTACAATAAAATGAAATGCACACAATATGCGAGTTTAGAAGAACTCAGAGATATTTAGAAGATGACTCATAATGACTAAAATGGCGCTGACATGAAACTGAAGACAAGAAAGAACCACATGGTTTTGAATAGACTAACAAACAACCATGACCGACCCATTTTTATTGATGCCAACCATCTCAGAATTTCCTCAAGTGGCCTCATGCTCTCGCAGACAATTTTAATTACTTTGCATCCAGTATAAGAACAAGTCATGTCAGAATCTTTTTAAAAACAGATATTGCTTGTCTCTTTTTGTTTTACAACTATCATCGCTTTTATCTCACATTCATTCACAGTGTTTGTGTTCTTGTAGTTTATATATAAAGACAGTATTTACATGTAAAAACAAGAGAAGAACTTACCTGTAAGCTGAAACAAACTGTTGTAGTATAAGCAGGAAGTGCTTCGCAGCAGTTATTACCCTCCCCCCACCTGCTCGAGTCTTTTTCCACTCCCTAAAGAAAACAACTCGCTCGGCTCCACGTCAAACAAACAGGTAGAAGGGGCTGGGCCTGAACGCCTGACTGCCTATTCTGGCAGTGAGGAGGCAGGTGTTCAGCCATTTTTAACACTTGCGCATACTTTACACTGATGCACATGTACTGTGTTTATCTTTTTGTATTGTATGTAAGAGCTGATTTATTAGATTGACACAGTCGTTCATCAATTTTTATTTCAAAACAGATTTAATACAAAGCATAAAACAAAATATTGAGGGGCAAACTATTTCATACTTGATCAGGAAAATCATAGAATTTAGCATTTATGCAAGCCCCTATAATATCATTTAGAACACTTGCCTAAAAATAGAAATATTTACTATTCATTTATTGCTTCTCTTCTCTTGTGATGCATTATCATAATTTAGCAATTTCCACATGCATATATACATATATCTATAAAACAGTTATAATTTACTATTTACATCATATGCAAAATGGTTTTATGTTACATTTAAAGCTTTGTGATCTTCTCCTGCTGGTCTTTCTCTTTCAGTACAATTTCATTGTCATAGAAAACTGGACTGTCCAGACCCTGAATATCTTTTGGCTTAGTCTCAATTAGGTCTGACACCTAAAAAGGAGAGAAATGCAGTTAATAAGTGTAAGTAAAGCTGAGCTGGGGATAAACGATATGATATCGAATCGCAATAAAATTGATGTCAATAACAATAAGCGCTGATGATAACTTCTTTACTCTATATTGATCTAAGAACCAATCAATCACACAGCTGAAATGTGCAACAATGGGAATCTAAAAGTGTGTTAATAGTGATGTACTGGATTTTCAGCAACTGAATTTATTGGCTGAAAATGTTATGCTCTTTAATGGACCCTCTAATTTTTGTGGCTTCAGTCATTGTTGACTCTTTGAAATCTGAAATAATAAACAACTTATATCAAAATATATATTATTATTGTTCAATATAGAAAATACTAATCGAGATTGCATTTTTTTCCATATTGCCCAGTCCTAAGTGTAAAAGGAAAATTTCAGAGCAATCACTTCATCAGCATTTGTAAATAACAAATGTAAAGGTAAAATCTCTCAAAGACATCAACCTTTTCAGAAGAGAAACAAAGTATACTTCAAATCATTTAATAAATCTCACCTCGGAGTCTGATTTTTTACATCTGAAGCAAATGAGATCTGATTTGCTGATAAAGAGCTCAGGTCGAACCTTCTTCTGCTTACAGCCACCTAAAGTACAAAATTTTACGTTTATGTTGCTTGAATGTTTGCCTCACTAACAAGACAATACGACAGACTTATCTTACCTGAGATTGCACTAACTATTAGTCCGATGAACATGGTCACAATTATGCCAACAGGAGAGAAATACAGATATGACAGAGAATACCAGTTGTCTGCCAAAGCTGGTCTAGGCCTAAAGGATAAAATGAGAAATTACAGTTTGCATTGATTTCAACATGCTTATTAATCAATTAAATGTGTATAGATTCAATTTAAACAAGTGAAGGAAAAATATACGATATGTGTTTAATAGATTTCTCTATAAAATATCCATTAAATTGATAGATGACAATTAAAACAGATTTAATGTTACCAAAACTAGCAGATTGGTATGATTTCTGAAGGATCGTGTGACAAAAGGATTCATAAGAGTATTTAGATTAGCCTCACAAAAATAAATTACATTTCAGTTATTTATAAATAGAAATTGGTTGTTTTCAATCATAATAATATTTAGCAATATTACTAATATTTCACTTTATTCTTAATAAAGTAAATGCAGCAATGGTGAGCATAATTGAATAATATAAAATTTTTACAGACTCCTCCAAAAATTTCATTTAATGCGTATTTACAACAACAGAAATAGCCATACTAACTGTGGAGTTGTGGTTTGCAGGACTGTGCTGAATGGTGTCATAGTGGTGGTTTCGCTTGTGTTCAGAGCAACACATCCTTCCACACTCAAGGGAAGCCTGAGGGTCTTCTCTGGCAAAGGAGGATATAACTGAGCTCCAATCCCCACCCACAGCGTTATTGCCAAGCCAGAAGCCAAACCAGCTAAACCTCCCTATAGAGAATCAGTATACAGTAGCTTTTAGTTCGATACTAATACACATTTAAATGACACTGCATATTTAAATAAGTCAATATTAGCAGTATAATTTATAATTTGACTAGTAAAGATGTTTCTTACAGTGGAGTTTGCGCAGCGGAAGAACATGCCCAGCATGTATAGACCCAGAAGAGGCCCGCTGATCATACCAAATATGGACAGAGCTGCCTGTGGAGGAAGAGATCGATAGTGTGTCATTACAGTCTCTCACCAGCAGAGGGAGCGGTCACACTTTATTTTAGTGGTCTGTTTGTTGCATTAAATTATAAATAAAATAGACTGTTAGGATTGGGGTTAGTGTAAATTGACATGTACTTGCAAAGTTTCTTATAGTCAGTTAAATGTCTGTTGATGGAGCAGTCAACAGATATTAAGTAGACAGTCTACTACTCAAATGGAGCATCAAAATCAAGTGTTACAGAGGGAGTTTTAGATACAGTGAGGAAAGTCAGAAGATTATACAAAACTTCAAGCAACGTTTGCATTAAATTGTTGGCTTTGTGTATTACCTGCAGTATATTTCCCATCATGGAGGCAACACCAGCCATGCCAATGCAAACAGCGCCATAGAACACACCTAGAGACAAGCAGCATTTCTATTACACTTATACAGTAAGCTTTCACATGAAAGTCAATCCGTTATCCACTGCTTTACACTGAAGGAAAGCATGCGGATGTTAGTGTATATGGACTCACTCATGCCCATGTTGATCCAGGACAGCTGTCGTTCTGTCAGTGAAGGCCATGCAGGTTTCATGAAGTCTTCCACTGTCACAGCCACAAGAGCGTTGATACTCGACGACACCGTACTGTTGAAAACAAACTTGTGAGAGATCTAACAGTGAAAACCAATGTGTGACATGACTAACAAAATTTAAAAATTGTTACATCAGGCCAAAATTAGAGCATCTAACATCATTTTGTCAGATAAAACACAATGATTTTGTTTAGGTATTTTTATGTATATTTTAGTTTTTATTTTATTTTAGTGTTTACATTATGGATAAGTACTGTAAATTTACAATGTTGGAATAAAATCGAAATGAATATAATATCAGTTACTAACAATTCCTTTGTAGTTTATATATGAGATCTATTAGAGCACAGGTGTCAAACTCAGTTCCAAAAGGGCCGCAGCTCTGCACAGTTTAGTTCCAACCCTAATTAAACACACCTGATCAAACTAATTGAGTCCTTCAGGCTTGTATGAAACCTACAGGTAAGTGTGTTGGAGCAGGGTTGGAACTAAACTGTGCAGGGCTTCGGCCCTCCAGGAATTGAGTTTGACACCCCTGAATTAGAGCGTTTCAAACTCGCGGCTGACGCCAAGAATATAACGAGATTCGGTTCCCCCAAACATGTTTTAGAATCACTATCGTTGTGCATATAGCCTCTTGTGGTTTTCACCCCTCAAACCCCTCCCCCCACCCTATTGAACTTTTAAGTATTGCGCTATATTTTCCTGTATTTCAGTTTACTTTTTTTTTACTTAGTTTTTTTCTTAGCGTGCGTTCGGAAGTAACGCACATGCAGATTTTCTCCGGCTAATTAAAACATTGAAATAAATGTGCATAAGTGCTCTATTTTTGTAAATATTCAAGGATCATTTGATTAATTTCAGCTTTATACCACCTGTATTTTGTTAAACAAACTCTTTCATGGCGTACACGTTATGCTGGTGGTGTAACATGCTAGTTTTGTTCATATTCGATTCAAATGGTCTCATTTAATAGGTTTTCCTCATAGGCCTATTTAGATTTATATGAAAACTATGTAGATTTTACTAGTGGTTGAATATAATATGTTAAAATGGGAATGGGAATATGTCATTGTTTTTCCCCCTTTGTTGTAGTTTTACAAAAAGAAAGATACTAAGACGAACAATTGCCAGTAAAGTTTCCCAAACTTTTTCTTCTGTTCTTTCGCTATCTGTTAAACCTTTGGTAATGCAACAGTTGGTTGGGACAGAAAAATAATAATTATTATTATTATCATAATGACAAAATTATGTCAAAATGCTAATTTAAACAGCCAAAAATATATTTCAGCAAATGTGTGAAGAAAAAACGTGCTGATTTGTTGATTTGTGAGGCAGTGCTTGAATTAGAAACATCATGTATGTTGTTCTAAGATGCACCAATTACATCACTTTTTTTCTTGTGCTTGAATGTTAAAACAGCCCTCCTATGAATTGTCAGTTACTGAAATGGCTCTCTGCCAAATTGAGTTTGTGACCCCTAAACTATAATTACAAATAAAAATAATTAAAATATGTTCATACACATGGAAATGCATTAGCATATAGCAAGTAAGCTTATTGTAACTTGAAACTGTTATGGTTTTACCAAGCTAAATAAATTTTTTTATTTTTAAATGTTTTTTTATTTTTTTCCTTTTTTAAAAGTATAAATGAATCACAGTGGCGCAGTGGGTAGCACAATCGCCTCACAGCAAGAAGGTCGCTGGTTCGAGCTCCGGCTGGGTCAGTTGGCGTTTCTGTGTGGAGTTTGCATGTTCTCCCCATGTTTGCGTGGGTTTCCTCTGGGTGCTCCGGTTTCCCCCACAGTCCATAGACATGCAGTATAGGTGAATTGTCCATAGTGTATATGTGTGAATGAGTGTGTTTGGATGTTTCCCAGTGATGGGTTGCAGCTGGAAGGACATCCGCTGCATAAAACATATGCTGGATAAGTTGGTGGTTCATTCCGCTGTGGCGACCCCAGATTAATAAAGGGACTAAGCCGAAAAGAAAATGAATGAATTTGAATCAATCTTTTCAGTTGTTTCACTCTGATGCTAATGTTTGTGCCAAAATGATCAAGATGAATTTACATAGATTTACAGCAGATATCTTAATAACAGTGTTCACCTTAATGTCC